GATTTGGGTAAGAATTGTAGATCTAATCACTTGTAAGTAACACCTGTATTTTACCAATTCATACAATAAATGTTTCTGATTTCTGATTACGTTGTTGCCGAACAGTAGGTATTTTAAAGGACTATCCACACACATCAGGGCCGTACCCGGGACGTGGACGGGGCGTGTTAGTTTACATGAACTGCGGGCCCAACTGTCGTCCCAGCGCCGGCCCGGACACGGACATGTGTGAACGAGTGCATACAAAATAAGCGCAACGATATTTTTTTGAGTCCCTGACGGAGTACGGCCCGTTTACGTCCCGGACACGGCCCGGATATGTATGGATAGACCTTAATACCACAACTCGCCACTCGTCAAGCTTAAATATTAAAGTTGAAACTTAATTCAACTTGTTGAGTTTATTTCTAAATATAGCATAACGTATATGTAATAGATGGGCACATTTTGACTTTCTTAATTATTTGATATATTTTTAAGCCTAACAATAATAATACATATAATAAATATGTACTGAGAATGAATAAATATTATTACATGTGGGAAATATGACCTTTGCTCTCCCCATGTTTATAACCTTGATTTTTGAGGATTATGAATAATTTGCATTGGCAACGCTGCAAATCGAAGGGAAGAATCGGACGTGTATTTCGTCTCCCCGTAAAAGTCTAGAGAGCGCGCCTTCAAGACAATCGGATCGGTAATAAAATCTCGGACGAAATCGGACACTATTTCCGACTCGGACGCCACGTCACGTCGGATCCGATGAACGGATCGGACGTGGCGTCCGAGTTCCCGATTTTGTTATGAACACTCAACACTGTATTGAGTGTTCATACAATTATATGGTACGAGCGCCTTCCGATAGTCGGATCAGACTATCGGATCCAACTATCGGATGGAAAAAACGGACGTGTATTGTCGCACTTATACTTAGGTGTCCTTGTTTACGTTTATGTAAACAGTCTGTGATTTAATTTAGTTTTTGTTTTGTTTATGATTTTGTTTTGTAAGTATTTATTTGTGTCTTAGGTGCTTTTCATTATATTTTTAATTTTGTTTCTTTTTTAACCGACTTCAAAAAAAAAAGATGGTTCTCAATTCAACTGTATGTTTTTTTTGTAATAATGTTACGCGATTGTGAACTGATTTTGATCATTCTTTTTTTGTTGGAACTAGTGGTCAAATTTAAATTTTAAGAAAATATTCCACCGCTAAGAGTGGCAAACTACGGAATGAATCCGGTATCGCGCACTTTCCGGTAGCCGATTTCAATAAAACTTGGCAAATAGATGTAATTCCACTAACTTTTGAGGTCGATTTAAATAGATTTTAAGTAATAAAAAGAAATCGTTCATGTGAGTTACTATCTGTGCGTCGTCCTTAGTCAAACGTTAGCAGCCACACGAACGTGTCTACGCCGTATCCATAGGTTACACAAATACGAAACAATACCAATTTCCATACGATAATAAAACACCGCTTTTCCAGTACTTAATCGTAGATAAGGTTGTTATTAAAAAACTATTTGAGTAGTCATATCGTAATGTTCATGGAACAGTTTAAACTAAGGAACAATGTTATTAATCCATTTTATTTAATTCATTGATGTTTGCTTTCAATTCAGTTTCAATTGCTAAACAAATATAATCGATATTTTTTCCCAATATTCGTTTGTTGAAAACGGAGTTTTATCTACGCAATTAATATATTGGTTGAGCTCATCGTGACCTATTTCTACATCGTCTGACGATCTCGAGAGCAAGGGCATATTTACAATAAAAGCCCGTATTTTTTTATCAATGGACGGCGGTGGACCGTAGCGCTATTGTCATTCAATCTGGTTATTGTAGAGTGCGGTGGGAGCGCCGCGCTTGCGCAGACTGGAGGTGCTTTTTGTAGTTTTGCTGCTTTTTAAATCTTGTAATTACATGTAGAAAATTTGTTGCAAATACCAATTAAATAGTTATTTGTTATGCAAGGCTGCAAAGTTATTGTTTGACGCGAATGCTTGTATGAAACTTGTCCAAGAGAAGGATGCTAATTGAATTGATTGATTGATTCAAAAATAGAATTCGGTGCATATCGAGGGTTTCTAGGCACAAGACTCAAAACAACTTTGCTCAAAAAAACTGTTGCACAGTACAACAAATCTGTTTTAATAAACAAAATTAGTTATCGTTGTCAATTTAACGTCAAGAATAAAATATACCTACGGATTTATATTACATAAATAATGTACGATAAATCGTGTAGTTGAACGTGTCATTGATTTTTTTTTCACAGGAAAAAAATTATGTGCACCACCGTCCATCGCCAAGTTCACGAGTATTTAAGAGATCTGTGGTCAAGTTCTAATTTCAAAAACCTTTTCCACGCTAGCGTGGAAAAAACGCTTTTACGCACAGATTTCTAATGAGAATGAAAGCCTTTTCGAGGTAGTGAAGTGAAAAATAAATTTTTAATACAGTTGCTCAAGACGTGGTATTTTTCGCACTACAAATCGTGCGGAAAGTTGGATTTCTCGCACTAGTGCTTTTTACTTTTCCAGTTTTTTTTAAATTTACTATGGTTTTAAGTCTAAAAACATAGAACTAAAGAGATTGTATATTTATTTCATATTTATGTGCTTTGTGACGTAAGTCATTCGTCATTAAAACTTATATTTATTTACAAATACTATATAATGAACGTATCGAGTGGAGGTCTCTGCCTACCCCTGAATGGGTGACAGGCGAGATTTTTATGTATATATTTGTTTTATGTATTACAGATAAATTGTATCTCACTACCGTGCACGGGTTCCTAAAGAAGTTTAAACAAAAGTACCAGGACTTCATAATAAGAAAAGTAGTTACAGACCGATATTACAGAAAATAAACAAAAACAGCACGTCAGAACTATATTTCCATAGACTTTTAAATAATGGTTGCAGTGGTTGTATTTCATTATTTTAATTTACTAGCAGAAAATGAGTTCTTTTTTAAATACTGTTTTATTTTACTTTCAATGTAGTTTTTTCGCAAATGTATTAAACAACGTCGTTTGATACACGTGCGGATTTGTCATTTTCACTTGTCTCGAGACTCGTGAATAATGACTAACTTTCCGCACTTGTATCAAAAATAACTATTATGCATTAAGTTTGGTAAAGAGAAAATAATTCAAGAAGTACCAAAGGCTGAACAATAAAGTAGAATAAGATTTTATACAATACGGAAGAAAGAACCTAAGCATTGTAGGCCTCTATAAAATGTGAGGCCATTATGCATGCATAGGTCGACGACGGGTTGGTTGATCATTCACAGCTCTTGAGCCACAGAGACGCCGACACAATAGGCATCACCGTAACATGCTGCACACCGTAACAACACCCATAAATTGAACTATGGGTTTGTCCTCCACGCATGGTGGTCGACTTTAACGACGCCGTATGGAAAAAATTTAAATATCTTTAACGGTATAGAAATTGTACATGGAGGATACAAGGAAAAGTAGTTGGTAGACCTCGACTACTCCCTAAAAACATTTAATCTTCATAAGTGTTGGTCACCTTAAATAGAAGCGAAATGATATCTTACATTCATAATTAATCACATGTACAGGTACATTGTAAATAGACGCTGCTATGTAAACATGAGTACAACTACAGTAAAAGGAAATTCTGTATAACTTGCTAAGGCCCAGTGTACATCAAAATGTACATAATAGTGATTTAGGCTCAGACATCATTATTCCTATGACCGAGTAAATGCTCAATGTACATCATAATGAAAATATCGCATTCAAAGATCATGGCCTATAATCTGAGCCGGTTAATGGATGTTTGCCTACAAAAACCACATTACTTTTAAATTACGCAATTATAAACCATTTTTTATTTTATGTAAAAAAATATTGAAAATCTACGGGGTTAACATGTAACAGGGCAATAAAGATTTGATATTAAACATGTTTTCAGCTGTGTGAAAACCCTGATTAGGTTATTGTCAGACTTTCTGTCAAAATAAACCTATCGTCACAGTCATGCGCGAAACCTTCGCGGTCAGTTGTACGTGTAGTAGGAATAGGACCGAAATCGTTTTCTGGTGATCCACAATAAATACCAAACACACAAATATTTTGCACTAACATACATTTTCTATTCTATTTTCACAATATACCGTACCCTTAGCAAAGCGATACATACCATACTAAAGTACACATATTTTTGTATAAATCTAGTCATAATATGTCATTTCAAAAATCCTTTAAAACAATCCGGTTACGTTTTTCACACAATACTTGCTTGGACCCGAAATATGTAATTATATTCAATACATTTTAATGTAACAGGACATTTAGCGCTTTTCCCATTGTAGTTTGCTGGGTCATACGAGGATAATACCATATTACTTAAAAGTTCACAAACAAATACCTACATATCTCAATGCTCATTAAGTCATTACATAACATCTTACTAATCCATAAAAGGTGAAGGATCATCATGACTAATAACAGATTAGTCTTGATGATCCGTCACCATTTTATGGTTTTTCTTTAATATATTTAGTAGTGATGTAGAAAATTTCTTTTTTTCTAACAATGCTTATCTAAGTACCGATATTTTACTAGATATAAAAATGTTACACATCAGTAGGTGCCGCCTGCAGTTAAAATTATGCCGTTAACGACGAGTAATTGTGCAAAATTAGATACAATCTAGCCCTGACTCCAGCTCGGCTTTTAATGTTCTTAGTCAGGTCTTAAACGTAGGCCTATAATGATACGTCGCTATTTTTTATGGAGAATTTCCTGTGATGCGAACAGCGAAATCATTGCCCACGTTTAACTTATGCCAACATAATAATTAAACGTCTCTTATATAATCAGAAGTAAACACACTTGTAAAATTATCTCTATGGGCTTAGGTCATGATTGTGATGATCTTTTTTAATAACAAACACAAGTTAATAAGCTAGTATCTTCAAAATCTCTTTAAAATATCATAATGCACTCACCGTTATTAAAAGTGCAACAGGATCTTCCACTCACATGCACTCGATGCCAGTGCTTTCCACAAAACCGAAAATACGAGCTTTAGAAACTGGATAAGATTAAACAAAGCACTTAATACAACTAAGCATTCAACAAACAAGCCACTAAACTAAACACACGGAGTGATATTTACTGTTCTAGCCGGTAAATGCGGGTGGTTATTCGAACTACGTAAAGTTTCTGACGTTTGAAGTTGTACAGAACACTATGCGCTAACGGTCGGCCACTGCAAGAGCCGCCACGAGACTGTGCCGCGGACGGCGCACGAACGGAATTCTCGATCCTCCGAGCTTTCCTATCGCGCCGCAGAAGGCGGCCGTCGCGTCGTCCCACCGCGCCGCCCCGTCCCGCGCAACCGGTCACCTGCCCGATAAAAAAAAAATAAAAGAGAAGCCTCACATTTCGGCGAAATATGAACCAAACTAAACACACTACACACTACACAGGTACTGAATGCAGGAGCGCCTTTTGACATCCTCACCGCATACCGCACACTCCTTCGTGGTAATCTTTGTGAGCTAGTTTTGATTGGAGCGGTATTAACGCGCTCTCGTGGTTAACCGGCGAAGACTGTTCACACGCCACAAACTGTAATTTGGATACATTATCTATCATTGGAGATCTCGAAAATTGCGGTGAGAGAAGGGCCGAAGTACAGGGCGTGTGGTTGTGTTCCAATGGGGGTATAGCGAGGAACTTGACGCGGTTCTGATAATGAGTCGAATAAACAAGGGGGCATTTTAGCGGTTGACCTGTAATCACCGATACAAACTAACTCGTTTCAGAGCATCGAATTGAATTAAGGTTGTTGTTGTTTCCTAGCTTTATCTAAAGAACCTTCTAGGTCAATATTTGCAAAGGCTAAGTAAAGACGTAGCATTGTTTGTTTTATTATTTCCCTCATGTACCTACTTAGTTAAAGATAATACGTCGACTGTATATAAGTGTTTAAAACTACCTATGTGCCTTAAAGTGCAGAGCAGTGTTAAGCTAAGTTGGAAGCAACGTAAGCAACTGTTTAGAGCTGTCGGCAGCAACATGCCTAACCTGAGCCTGAGGGTTCACTTCAGAAAAAATAGATTTAAGTTTATACTTGCAATGCAAAATACACTCTTATACATTGTGTTATGAGTGTTTTATTAAGGCGAGTCAACGGAGGAGAAGCGGGAAAAACTATTTTTATAGATGAAATGGTTTAGGTATTTAGTATTAAATAACGGTCTTATAAAAATATATGATATACCTAAGAATATTATCTGTGCTAATTAGTTACACGATAGGATATACTTTACTCGATCATATAAAATCCCGAAAACAGGTTAAAATAAATATTTAAAACTAATTATTTCAGAATGAAACATGTTATTTTGCACACAATTTTTATATGGAGATATTTCTCTTTAAATACAACAGAGAACCCGCTAAATTTTGGTTTTCAGCAAATAAGAAGCCCTTTAAATTTAAAAAGGTTATTAAACTCACATTTATCCCAAAACTTGAAAATTGCCCAGCGGTTTAAAGACACGCCTGACGCGCCAATGGGCGCTTGTCAACGTCGGATTTGTGTCAAATTTTCTCCGCCTGTTGTTATTTTATTCATATTAATTTTAAGCGCGCAGATTGCGGGACGCGAGTGGCGATCTCCCACACCTCATCTCCGAAAATTTAGGCTCGTGTTGAAATACCTCCCCCTAAGCATTAGTTTAAGACTTGGTGCACAGTTTAATCTTTAATTAAAGCAGAAACTGTGCTTCACAGCTTCACGTAAACTTACAATATTGCAAAATGACCTACATTTGCGTTCTCCCAATGGACATAATAATACAAATAATAATAATAACACACACACTCAACATACAACAAGGGAAACCCTGAGTCGTGGGTGCCATGGACACACACATAGACAACCACAAATTACACCCAAACTCACGAGATAAATAAATGTAGGCCATACAAATATTTCTCCCGGCCCGGGAATCGAATCTGGGATCTCTGCATGGCAGTCCTGCATAGTAACCGTTCGGCCACAGAGGCAGTTTTAATGCAATGATAATTCCTGTTACACACAACCTACAATTAAATTTTATAAAAAATGAAGCTCGCTTCGATTGTATTAGGTATGGTTTACTTCAGTTGAAAATTTTCATTGCTTGCTATGTTCACCAATTAGACTTTTTTCCGTTAAACTCATCCATTTGACAAAATTTGGAGCTCGCTACACTTGCCCACGTCATTATTGCTGTGGTTCGTTTTTGTAAACAAGAATAAAAGAACGGGCGTTACAAGTTATAGTGCTTAGGGCATCCACGGCACTTGATATAAATATAGTGCCAGATTTAACACAAAGGCTAACAATGTTGTCCCTTTTGGCACTTGGCTACTGACTACTTTGACAAATATATACTAATAATAGGTGTCATGTATTGGAAACAACATCGACAGTTTGTCCAAAAGTATAATTATATTATGTCCAATTCAAAAGCTCGTGAAAAAGCTCCACAAGCCCGGCAAAGCAAACACGACAACTGTGCTTAAATAGCTCTAACTAACATCACCAAGTTAATCCTATTACGGGATCGATGGGGCTAAATCCTGACACTAACTTGTGATAACAAGAACTTATAATATCCACTGTCCTGTGCTACTAACTTGAGTTCAGCAAAGCATATAATCACGTAGATTACGCTATACTCTGCCAAGTGAATATTATTTGTTATTGAGCTTATAAAAATAATAATTACGGGTTATATCGAAACTTTTTGGCACACTTTTTTGTTATAGGTATATACGAGGTGTGTTCAGAAAATAACGGGAACTTTGAAAAAAAAAATTCATTCGTCTATATTAATGTTGTCGCCTTCAAAATTGTCCCCATTAGATATTATGCACTTGTGCCAGCGCTTCTTCCAATCGTCGAAACACTTCTCAAACTCGATCTTTGGGTTAACCTTTAGCTCTTTCAGCGGTGCGCTTTTAACGTCATCTATGCTTGTAAAACGGCGGTCCTTTAAGGTTCTCTTTATTTTTGGAAATACGAAAAAGTCACACAAAGCCATGTCTGGCGAATATGGAGGCTGGGACAACGTTACAATATTGTTTCTGGCCAAAAATTCACGAACAAGCAATGACGTGTGAGCAGGTGCATTATCGTGGTGCAAAAGCCATGAATTGTTTTTCCACAAACCTGGGAGTTTTGGAATGTTGGAAATAGTTATACCATTCGTAAACTCTTGTTTTACTCATAGCAGACTCACTATAGGCCTTTGTTAACATTTCACACACTTTAATTCATTTTTTACGCAGAATTTGATGCAAATTATTTTATCCATTTCTTTTAACAAACGAAAATTGCAGAACTCATAAAAATACATTTAACCTTAACGGCTACCGCAGGCAAAGTAAACATGAATTCAGCTGAAAATTTTATTATCTATTAAAAAAATTTGACAGTCGGACTCTCCAAACCTGCGAAATTTAAATATTCCCGTTATCTTCTGAACTTTATTTGTTTCCATCCTGTAAGTTCTGAACACACCTCATATATACTTCAAAAGCAAACTTAATTTTTAAGAGACTTCAAAAAAAGGAAGAGGTTCTTATTTCGACTGTACTTTTTTTAAGTAGATACTTATTTTGCCTCTATGTTATATAAATTATTACATGTTAACATTGTGGTGTTAATTATGATTCCTTTTCTACATTATGTTATTGAGGTTAATTTTCTTTTATTTTTTCCATCCTCTAAGGGTTAATTTGATAAAATGACAATTAGATTATGCAATAAATACCTTAGAGGATGGAAAAAAACAAGTGCAATACTCATGATTGTAGGTAAAACATAGCATAGACAAGTATAGAGTCAAAATAACTATTTAACATAAAAGATAAGTAATCGCTAATTTCGAGAGTACGGCGGCAAAATTATGTATATTATAATTATATATATTGTATTAAAAATACATATTTTTCTTTACGTGTTTTGTATGTTACGTAGGCTGTTGCTTATTTATATTTGTGTTTATCTGAAGGGATAGACACAAATATAAAAAGATAGGTTTATAATATTGTAACATTTACTATATTATAAATAAATAAATATTTTATATTAGACAACATCACAAATGTTGCTCTGATCACATAGTAAGTAGCTAAAACAATTGTGTTATGAAAATCAGAAACAACAACGGTACCAGAAACACCCAGATCCGAGACAATAATGAAAAATTATAAAAGTTTTACTTGATTGACTCTGCCGGGGATAAAAGCCGAGACCTCAGAGATCGCGACGAGTTCGTCAAATACTCGTATATGTCATAATAAATGTGAAATGATCTTTGGGTGCCTTCAAATTAGGCGCTTATAGAAACGCCACAATGGCGCCACTAGTAATTAATAACGCTGCAGTCGCTACTAATTTTTAATTTTCATACAATATTTAGAAGTGCAGTTCTAGCTCGAAAGTCGCACCACACACGCGCCACTTTCGTAGACTAGATATTGTAGGAAAATCTGAAAACACGTCACTGCAGCGCTTCTACATGCGGTTAATTTGAAGGCGCCCTTATTGTCAACTTAATCTCAATAATTTTCACATTTTGAACGTTGGCTATGCTTTTACATTGTTTACGTCAGATCTTTGTCAGTTTTACTTATTATTGTCAATTTTCAAATAATATAAAATCGATCACTATTATTTCGTTTGTAGTTTCGTATATTTACTGAGATTTTGTTACGTGTAACTAGCTTGTAATTTATTTATTATACGGTATCTTGGAAACCTTTGAAAAATAAAATAAAAATAACAATAATAACAACCATGGCTGGTAAGAAATATCGACTGAGATCTGTAATGTACTTTATAAAATACTAATATATATTTATTGAGATTTATTTTATTTCTTTCTTAAAATACGTATTAACTGTAAGATGTGAAACTCCCAGAAGGAGATGGCGTGACGAGCTAGATGCTTATATTATAATATCTTTGCCTGTAACAACGCTAAGTCGCAATAAGTGAAGGAAGGCAAGGTCGTAAAGGCTGAAAAATAAAAAGAAAAACCCGTAACAATATAGCAACGACAGAACGGTACAAATACAACCTATCTATAATAGGTTGTATTTGTACCCATAAATTTTGAACACTGTCTGTTTTCCATGCAATACAATCCCGTATCCTCAGAAAAACATAATAGATTGGTAAAAAAAGAGATTGCACACAAAATTATCTGCTCAACAGGCTACACAGA